TGGGGCTATATGTACTTTGATAAGAGATTAATTCTCTGGCATGATTTTATAATTGGGCAGGAAAACTGACTTAAGGCAACTGTGATTATATAATCACAAACCATGCAAATGAAAGTTTCATCTATTATGTCTATTTTCAATTTGCTTCCCAGTTACTTAAGTATATATGGCAAAGGGGGTGGGGACATTTCTTTGTCATTTCAAGTGTTTAGCATTTTCTCAATCTTCTTCTCTCGCCACCTCCCCCTTCCCTCTAAGCTGAGAACTTCTGGTGCACACACGAGGAGACAAGACTGACTTCTTTGTGTGTTCTTGCCAGCCACATCAAAGTTTCTCCTCAATAGAGCCCTAGGAACTTATTTCTAGGATGTGATATTACAAGGTCCTCACAGTTCTGTGATTGGACAGTGTCAGGATAGGCTGGGTACCAGCCCATAAATGCACCACAGTGGGGCCAGGCTGTCGAAAGGCCTCAGAGCATGTGAGTTTATCACATTCCAGCAGGACTGAAATAGGTTGACTACTAATGTTTGTTTTACAAAAAACTGATTTTGGGATTCCAGTTAAACAAACAGTTGGTACGTTGTTTTGACACTCTGAAAATATTTCTTCCTCTACTTCTTTTGAAGAAATTGGAGACTTGGAGATTAAGGCTGATAAATCATCTACTTATAATATGTGTACAGATTACAAACTAAACATATTGTCATTGTTTTATTGAAAGTGTTTTCACCACTGACAGATAGAAAATACCCCCCATGAAATCTCTCTTCCCAAAGGGAGAATTATTGAATGAATGTAAACGAATCCCTAGAACTTTCCCAAGAGACCAAGACAGAAGAAACTCTCATCTGAGTGATTGTGAGTTTCCTGCAGACTTCATGAACTACCGCTTTTCTCCCATAATCTAGAAACATGGGAAACTGAAGGCAACTCTAAGTCTTTTTTTGTTTATTTATTATTATTATTTTTTTGAGATGGAGTCTTGCTGTGTCTCCCAGGCTGGAGTTGCAGTGGTGTGATCCTGGCTCACTGAAACCTCTGCCTCTTGGGTTCAAGTGATTCTCCTGCCTCAGCCTCCCAAGTAGCTGGGATTACAGGCATGCACTACCATACCCAGCTAATTTTTGCATTTTTAGTAGACGGCGTTTCACCGTGTTGGCCAGGCTGGTCTCAAACTCCTGACCTCAGATCATCCGCCCACCTTGGCCTCCTGAAGTGCTGGGATTACAGGCGTGAGCCACGGCGCCCAGCCTTAAGTCTTTCAATATTCCAGAAAATTCAGTTCAAAATTCAGGAAAAGAATCTATGTTTTAGTATTTGATTTGAAAACACATGAAGAAGACCTGGAAATATAGTCAGATATTAAGTACTCAAGCTTTATATCCTATTTGAAGTCTCTTGCTTCGAACAGATAAAAATATTTAGCAAATTTAGTAATTTTTGTAAAATTAGTAATGTGGAAAAGTCATCAGGACATACTGTACACAAAAAAAATCTCTTTATATAATTTATTTAAAATAAATTATTGAGTTTCCTGTGCTGTTACAAATGTAACATTCTCATATACAACATTCACTGAAGAGGCACAATTCTTATTTTGAGGTGGCACAGATTAGACAAATTTTTCAGCGAATAATTCCTCTTTCATTAGGAAATTTAACCACAAGCTGTATTTTTGTAGAAAGTTGCTTGAAATTCTATTCCTAATAAAATTTTTCTATCTCAAAATGACCGTATGCAAGCGAACAGTACATGACTACTGTCTTCATACCTTCTAATATAAGCAGAGTAATTTCACAGTGGAGTTTTTTCAAACAGAAATTTAAAAAATATATTATTTTCAGGAAGAAGCTGACCTGGATTAAGAATGTCCTGCTAGACCTTGTTAAGAAATTGTCAAGTAGGTGACCAAGAGTTTGCTTTGCCACAGGATTTCCCTGCAGGCTTCCCTACCAGTCAGGACCTCATCAGTCAATTGAAACACTCCCCTTAGAAACATAGACAAAGCCTAAGAGGGAATGGAAGGTGAGGTGGGGGTACTGATTCTTGGCTTTGAAGAGTAAACTTCTGGTTATCTGGCTGGTTAGAATGCCTCCAGGAATGTATTTTTATGTTCTCCGGCTTAGCACAATTCTTGCCTTTTAGGTTTCAGAGTTCTGTCCTCCCCACTCTTTATCTCCATATTACAGTGCTGGCATTGGGACAGAAGTCAAGAAAATGACAAAGTGGCAAAGCAAGTCACAGGTCACTGAGCTGTAATTAGTTTTTGTTTTTTTTAAAAATGTATTTTTTATTACTTTTTTTTTTTTGACAGGAACTTGCTCTGTCATCTAGGCTCAGGGCGGTGGTACAATCGTAGCTCACAGTGGCATGGGCTGCAGGCTCAAGCCATCCTCCTGCCTCAGCCTCCTGAGTAGCTGGGACCACAGGTGCGCACCACCATGCCCGGCTCAGTTTCCGGTTCTTGAACTAGACTTTCCTACTGAGTGTCATATGAAAAAATACAAACAAAAAAGACTGAGGCACAGGGACAAAGGAAAGAGTATTTAGCTGGCACACTCTCACCTTAGTTCTCCATCTACCTTAAAATGCCCTGGAGGCAGAGGGTGCTTGTTACAATGACTCTCGGTCCACACCCTAGATCTGCGGACTCAGAATCTTTGGAGGGAAAGTCAGGAAATCAGCCTGTAAACAAATATCCAAGATGATTTCGTGGCCCACCTGGGATCTATCATATGCCCCCAAGAAACAAGATGCCTGCCCCAGTTAGAGAACTTAGTTTTCCCCCCAGATTCCATTTCTCTTGTATTCATTCTTGCCTTGTTTCTTCATTAGCATTCATGTTAATCGTTCTGTATGTGATCTTGTCTGGAAAGTTTTCTACTTTTGAGCAAACTTTTAGGCTCTGGATATGAGGAATAAGGCTTTTAGGCTTAGGATATAAGGAATAAGCTTTCAACTTGCACAACTGCCAGTAAGTTCACTTCCATTTCCATTGCTTTTCCAAAACTAGGTTTAGTAACTTTGTTTCCAGATGGGGAGTGAGGATATTAGGAGATATTGGAAAAGCAGCTGGGAGTTTCAAATGTTCGTGACACAAAAGTGGGGTTGGGGTTGGGGGATGATAAATAAATCAGCATAGGCTATTTCCCTGGTCATCATCATCATAATATCATTTCAAGAGCAGTCATTCTGGATCCCAACGGCTTTGTCAGTGAGTCTTTCATTACACACACCAGAGAAAAACACTTCCCAGGGTTTCCTCAGTGCCACCACCAAGTGGTGTTACATCACCAGATGTGTTAGCATTATTTTGGACTCCTAAAGCATGGAAATTAATCCATTAATTTACTTGGACATTTTGATATTAAAAATAAATTATTGTTTTCTAAGCATTTCAAATCTAAATTAAAAAAAATTTTTTTTTTCATTTTTTTGGGGAAAATCTAAAATTTGTTCCGGGCTACCAGAACTAGGACTTAATGGGATTCTTTTTCTTACAACATGTTACTACTTGATGGCGGATACTGGGGTAATGGAAGGGGAGGGTGCATATGCACGTGGCCTTCTAGAAAAATCCCATATGCAATAAATATAAGAAAATATGCTAACTTTTAAAAATAACAAAAGCAGATCAATGGTTGCCTCAGGATGGAGGATGGGGAAGGATTACAATGGGGCAGGGGAAACTTTTGGGGGTGATAGATATGTTCACTATTTTGATTATGTCAAGGGTATATACATACATCAAACTGTATCAAGTACTGTTCAAATATGTGAAGTGTATTATATGTCAGTTATACCTTAATCAAACTTTAAAAAGAACTTACTTGAGCCCAGGCGCGGTTGCTCACACCTGTAATCCCAGCAATTTGGAAGGCTGAGGCAGTGGAACACTTGAGGTCAGGCGTTTGAGACCGGCCTGGCCAACATGGCAAAACCGCCGTCTCTACCTAAAATACAAAAATCAGCCAGGTGTGGTGGCACATGCCTGTAATCCCAGCTACTCAGAAGGCTAAGGCATGAGAATCTCCTGAACCTGGGAGGCGGAGGCTGCAGTGAGCCGAGATCGCGCCATTGCACTCCAGCCTGGATGACACAGCACTCAAGACGGTCTCAGGAAAAAAAAAAAAAAAAAAGTACAGCAATATCAATAAAATTAACAAAAAACTTGAAAGGACAAAAAAATTCTAGCAACAATTTTATTAAAAAACTAAATAGATGAGAATTAAGGGAAAGTGGGTGTCTTAGACAAAAGAAGTAATAGTTCTAGCATGCTCTCTCGTTAACAGTATTAAGAAGTTCAATTGCTCACCATATGAATTAAAAGTGTTAGAAGAAACAGGTGGAACACAAATAAGATGATACTTTGCTTTATGAAAACTTAATATTCCTCTCTCTACAATTCCCCTCACTTCTATTTGGGAGGAAGGAATGGCTAGAAAAAAAAATTGCAGAAAATAAGAACATTTTTGTTTTTTTTTTCTACCAATTTGGATATACCAAAGTAACTAATAAAATGTATTTATGGAGTAATATGGTAATATGCAATCCATGAAAAATTTATAGTATTAACTAGGAGGCTAACTGAAGTGGTTTTCAATACTGAATGTCTCTGAAACTGTACATAAATACTGTACTGTGCATTTTACAAACAATGACACAGTGCAAAAGAACATATATGTGTATCTATGCCTTTCACTATGTTAGGAGCAAGGCTGGGGAAAATGAACTAAATCAGATATTGTTTTGGAAAACAAAAGGATGCATATGACAGGTAAGTTCTTCTCCACTTGAGTTTTCTGTAAGCTGCCTTAATTACGATGCCTCATTTGCTTAAGATGTTGGACATGCTAGTTCATCACAACAATTTTTAAAGACCTCCTTCTTTAGATCTCATTTTGGAAGTATTAAAGCTAAGTCTTTCTTAGATAATCTGCCATCTTCTTTAAAAGCAAAAGCTACAAAAAAGGTCTTTCAATTCAATAACAAATATATGCTCTTACAATTATGTATTAAACAAAGGTTTAGTTTAACAGAATGATTATGCAATGTACAGTTTAAACGTATCAATTTTACAAAAGAAATTCAATTAGGACTTACAGGATCAAATTCTACTCTGGATAGCAGTATTTCTAAATAACTGGGAAGCTTTTGGGGAAAAAAAAACCCAAACGCTTTAATCTTAACTCCATTTATACATTTCTTTCCATCTTTCCCCAAAAGAACATTTCTAGAGCACAAAATAGATTCATAATTGTTTAATTAGATACATTTTATATATCCTGAACATAATGGCTCCCATAGATATAAACTAATATTTTGTACACAAATTTTATTTCCTGTGCCACATTCATAGTATACTGGGCCAAGTGCAAACATTACATCCCCTGGTGTGAGCAGAGCTCTGCTCCCACAAACACCTCATTATCTAGGATGACAGAGAACAAGATTAGACAAGATGGATAATTAAAATCCACAAGGTAATAACAAAAATGTACTTTATGATTATAAACTCTTCTCCAGCTACAGCTGTAACCAGTACTAAACAAAACAGTTTAATCAGGTTTTCCTCCCTAAATCCAGCCCCCATGCCACTGCTCCTTGGGGCAGGATCTAATAATTGATTAGTGGGGTCGCTGAAAGGCCTGGGGCCAGAATAATCTAGAGGAAAAGGTTTAGAAAATTGACAACCTGGCATCTCATATATTGAAAATCCCTTGGTTTCTCTTGCTCAGAAAATTGCATTTGTTTCCCACATATAGTTGATATGTACCATTATCTTAAAAAAGGTTTATTTTTACAAGTGCCTGAAAATTATGGAGTAGGTATTTTTAAAATAATCCATGAAAAACAATGACTTAAGAAAAACAATGAAATAACAGCAAAAGAGAGTAAATCTGCACCCTGGGTGGCAGCACATGGAATCGATGAGTTTCTGGTCGGCCTCTACCAGTGCTGGTGTGTGCCATTGATCTGCTCAGTCTAGTCAAGTCCTCAGAATCATCATCACTTATTACTGCTCTCCTTAATGGCCATCTCCAATGAGATGAAGCAGCTTATGAATAAACCATGGGAGAAGTATACAGGCATATTATGTCCTCCTCTATCCTAGATCCTTTTAGGAAAAAACAGAAAGTAGGCCTGCAATAAAAAGGTTTGTATAACATCCTAAGGAATAAATCAGGTCGTCTTAAGAGAATGATCTAATATTCTACTCTTCTGCTATTCAGTCTTGACAGCCCAAATACTATGTAGATGAAAATTCCAATAGAGTAAGTCTCATAATTTTATAACCACCATGTCAATAAAAAGTAAAAAAGAGATGAGGCCATCGCACCAATGAGTATTCCACAGGAGATATGGTATTAGTGAATTGGGTATTATAGGAATAGTAACTAAAACTTAACTGAACACTTGAATTGGAATAATCAGAATATCTGAATCCCAAAAGAGATTCTAAATCTGAGATATTATCAAATGTAGTGATTTTAATTGACATTTTTCTCATTCTCATCTTGACGTCCTCATCAGAGTGTCAAGCTACCTCTGATCCACATTCACTCACCTGATTTGTACCATGAACTTACTGACTGGTAAAGATCCTTTCTACTATTTTTTCTTTTTTGTAATTATAACCCAAATTGCTAAGTACAGTCATTGCTTCCTTGATGGGTCCTGGGTCCTCTTCCAGCTGCCTGATACCACATCTGATGGTCAGCTGATGCCTCCCTTCATCTCTGCTTGTAAAAACCTTAACTTTGCAGGATTATTTTCTTATGTTTAGGCTATTCTGAGACTGTTCAGGGAAGTGCTAGTAAGTACAGACCAGAACCACTTTAAATAGTATTTAAAGCTTTATCAACCATAGGAGAACAGACTTCCGTGAGGAAGTCAATAGGATTCTTATTAAAATTAACGACATATATCTCAGGACGCAGATAAAAGAACATCAAGATGAATGAGCAGAAAAAGAATCAATACCAAGGGGAAGATTTTACTGCCGCAGGGCAAGCCACCTATGGGTTTAAAATGGGAATGAGAGGAATAGAGAAGGTATTGTTGAAGCAGAATGCTTAGATCTGGTGATGGATTCGAAAATTTACCTGAGAATGAAATTCCATTCTAAGCTAATGCAAACTGTAAACATAACATCAAAACTCAGATGCAAGGGATGAGTTTTGGATAACTAGAAGATTGCGCCATCTAGTGGAAACGTTAGCGTTTTCCCTTATGCTCTCAGCAGTTTTTCATTTGATGGTGTATTAGCCATTATTAGGAATGCTTTGTTGAGGAGAAATAGCATTAAAATCAACACCTCATAATAAAATGTAAAGTGTCTGTAACTGTATCAGAGTTTTAAATAACACTTAAATTCTAATGGTAAGAATCTAAGAATAAACATCTAACTAAGAATAAAATATATGTAATTTTATAATTCCCTAGGAAAATCTCTGAGGAGATTCTTTTTAAAAAACACACAGGCATTTATATAGTCATCTACGTGAAGAAACTTAGGAATACTGTTGCAAGTTTTCTGCAAAAGCCTCTGCATATTAGTGGAGGAAAAACAAATCCTAAAGTAAGCAAAACACACTTCTGCTTTCCTGCTTTGGGATGGATACATTCCTTAGCTTAAGTTTCATATCTCTGCCAATAGCAAGGTAAATGCTTAATATGTGGTCATGTACCATATGGAATCACTTGATGAAAATTTGAAATATGATTTTGCATAGAATTCATTTAAACAATGCAAATAAGCTACTAGCATTCTTGCTTCTGTTCTCAGTGGAATTCGACTAGTGCCAGTGGAGTGGGCATGGGATTCAGACATGGATTACATGGTGCTTCACTCAAAAACAGTTACATTTATAGTACTACTAAGCCCACACAGGAATTCCATATGCTTTTTGTTTTTAAGGTTTTAACACTGATGACAAATGTCCAAATCAAAGACAGATTTTTCCAAATAATAGGGCACACTGTGAGGTTAGGTGGAAGAGGGACGGTTTATTTTCTGGACGCAGGACAGGAAATTAACGAGCAACGTAAATACAGAGATCTACTTAGCACACCTTTTCCTTCTTTCCCTTCAGACATACGATATGGTAACTGACTTATCAAAGGAAAGCATATGTTGTTCACTTTTAAAAAACCCATTTAAGTTAGTCTCATAATTGTTCTGATTGAGAAAGTGAATCATGCCATGATTCAAAAAAGTCTGTTCTTCACATAAACCTATGAGCACACATTTAAAAAATGATTTATTGTACATCTTTGCATTTCTTAAGGCATGAACAATGGCATACAGATGGAACAGGTTCTGAGAAGCATCACATCTTTTTCAACAAGGCCAGCACAATCACGCCACATCAAACAAACACACTTGAAGCCTGCACTGACTGACTGCTTGTGGCCCAGGAGTCCTGCGATAGGGGATGGTGCTTCCAGACAGTGGAACAATCCTGTGGTTTCTATGTTGTTAACTTTCTCGATCAGCTTTAAGCACCAGTTACCATTTGTTTTTCTTTACAAACTCGTCAGACTTTGGATTTTATATTCTGCTCCTTTTATTCTGCTTTCCAAGGATGGTGTGGATTTTTTTTTTTTTTTTTTTAAGGAATATGGTTGCAGCAAAACAGAAAGGATCCGAAAGTGGTTAGGGGCTTTGTCTAATGCACTTCTGAAAGTCCATTATAAAGATGAATAGAAAAGCAAATGGTAGGTTTTCAGTGGACCCAGAAACCACACATAGCTATAAGAAACATAATTGTGCATAGTTATTTATTCATTCAGAATGTGATATGTTGGCTAGCTCTACATTCCCAGTCTACCAAAGAACAGGGCTGTCTACTTTGCTAAACCCAGGGTCCTTTCGAAGCTCCCAGTAGGTGTCGTTAGAAACCCAGGCTTCTCTTTGATTGGCATCAATAACTTTTCTGTGAAAATATAAACATCAACATTAGTCACAAATCACATCAAGGTAACCTTATAACTGGACCCTCTCCTGTAGATTAGACATGAACATACAAGCAGTGTTTTGTAAGCCAGTTAGTGTCTTATCTGCTCACTACTGATGATGTGACTCTTTTTGACCAGAAGTGAAGTCATTTTTGTTGTTAAATGTGTGAAATGGAAGTAGGTAGGGCCAGGGGGAGAGGAACTGAGGGCAGGAACAAATTACCTCCTGGCAGTAGAAAGTAAATAGCCCCCAACAAAGCATATACAAATACTGTAACTTCAGGCCCTGGACCCACAAGAATGATTTCTCCTTCACTAAAAGTATGCAATATCAGTAGCTCTAAGAGCCCCTGCCAGGCCCATGTCCAAGGAGCACACTTTAGAAATCTGAAGGGCAAGGCTGCGTTTCTACCCCAGGGCAGTCATTAGAGGACAAGTCTAAAGGAGATAAGGTTACCCTGAACTTTTTGTCCTGGCTCTGGAGGGCAACAGATGGATTTGGAAACCTCAGATTAATCTGTGTGATGTATATGTAATCCTGCAAATAATCCTGTAATAATCACCTACTATCATACCACAGCGAGACCAAATCTAAACACACACAAGCTTTGTGTGATAGAAATAAAATCAAATCCTAATAAAGCCAGGATGATTTTGTGGGCAGTGGGGTCTGGTTCAGTCTCTGGCTAAGGGAGTAGGAATCAGTTTCCACCATTCTCAAGAGTGCGGCTGAAGGACAAAGAGCCTTCTGGGTGGGAAGCTCACTCTTTTCTGCTGCCCATGAAAAGAGAAGAGCTGTAGAAAAAATTTCTTTTTATAGTTACTAACTTCTCATAAGTGCAAAATCGATTCAATATTTTCACTGCCAAAAGCAAAGATACCAAAATCCATTTACCCATTTTATTTTCATTTAACTGGAGTTTCTCATTGCCTGTGGCAACCATTTGCAAAACATGAACTTGCTATGGGAGCTAACCAACTTACTTAAAAAATTTTGGTATATGTTCAAGATTGTTTTCTTCCATATATCGTCTCCGAGATCTCTGGAGTTCCTCTACTCTTTGCTTCTCTGACGCTGCAGCTTCTAAATTTCCTTCTTCCAAAAATCTAAGCAGAAAGCAGTTGATATTTTAACACATTATCCTCTCTTCTGGGGAAAAAAACCTCATTTGCACAAAATTGTTTTCTAATTGTTATGAACATAAATTACTGCACAGTAACACTCTGGCAATGTCTCCTCGCCTTTGCCCCAGGCCACATTTCCTCTGTCCATCAATTTACATACTTTTCTTTCTTTCTTTCTTTTTTTTTTGAGACGGAGTCTTGCTCTGTCGCCAGGCTGGAATGCAGTGGTGTGATCTCAGCTGACTACAACCTCTGCCTCCCGGGATTTACATATTTTCTACATACATGAACTGAATTATTATAATCAGCAATATCAGTGAAAGGTGGGTGGTTTGGCCTTGAAGACTTTTTTATGCTGTCTAGGGTTCTATAACTTGAGATTTTCAGGACGACTGCAGAGTCCAGGGGGAGAAGAGCATGAAGTCACAGCCATGTTCCTTTTCTATATTATCAGAAAGCTTTTGCTAAAAGGCCATAGAATGGAGGATGGTAACTGGCTATTCTCCATCTATTTGGAGAACAGGCAGAGAAAGAAGGAGCTTTCCTGTTTTACTGGAGAGTGTAAAACTGATGAGACAAGAAAAGGTAATAGGGAAAATTATAAAAGGCCACAGAATGGGAAATGAATAGTAAATGAAATTCAGAAAAGGAATACTGAAATAGAATTGAGGAGGAAAAAGCAGACTGAATGGTGACTTACAAATGCTTACATTTCAAAATGAAAGCAAAGAACAGGAATATAATATGGTATACATTGTACAGGAAGTTTATTAATAAATTTGAATGTTAAATAGTGAGACAGCATGTTCTAGAGAGAGGGGAAAATATAAGAGAATTAAATAGTAGAACATTCAAAACTGAGAGCATTTTGGCAGATGGCAGATAAAGCCACAAATACATGGGAAACAGAAAATTGATCTTGAGTGGAATTTGTATGGCATATAGAATTTTTGGGAAAAGTAAAATGAATTCCATAGGAATGAACATCATGAGTTCAGAACTACATAAGAATAAAAAACTAAGAATCAGAAGGTATTAAAGGTACTGTATTTTGAGTATATCTCATACTCTGTGGGATCAAAACCACATTGGGCAAATTGCAGACTTGCACTCAAAGCATTTCTGGGTGCCCCTGTAACTTATCCTATTATTCTTCAGTTTAAAAGATACTCCATGTTAGAGAATTATAGAAGTAAAAAGGTCAAAAACACTGGGTGAGGATTGATTATATATTTAAGAAAGAGTTCACAAATTTGCAGACCTTTGGTAAATTTCAGGAGGAGGGAGAAACTTTCTGTTAAAAAAGCATCTCTGTTATCTTACCTTCTGTGGGGAACTATGTGCTGAGATAATCTGTTATGATCATTCTATGAATACTGCTTTTCCTAGCATAGAAAACTCAAATATTGAATAAGGGAATGAAGAAAGGATTGAATACAAATACATGATGATAGTAAAAATAAGTCACAATGACCTCTAAAGCCCCATGCCATAATAGTCTGCCTTTTTTTTTTTTTTTTGGCCAGGGTCTCTCTGTTGCCCTGGCTGCAGTACAATGGTACAGTCATGGCTCACTGTGGCCTCAATATCCCAGGCTCAAGCGATCCTCCCACCTCAGACTCCCTAGTAGCTGGGACTTTAGGCATGTACCACCACATCCAGCTAATTTTTAATTTTTTAAAAAAAATATAGGGTCTCACTACATTGCCCAGGCTGGTCTTGAATTCCTGACCTCAAGTGATCTTCCCTCCTCAGCCTTCTAAAAGTGCTGGGATTATAGGCGTGAGCCACTGCACCCAGCCATAGTCTGCATGTTAAATACCACTGCCATCCTACCTTTGATCTGGCCGGAACCGGGCGTCTGTTGGTGGAAGGAGATCTTTTAGTACTGGATCTAACTCATTGAGCTCAATAGCAAACCTTGTGAAGCCATAATACAGCTCATAGTTGGTTGGCATGGAACCTGGAAAGAGGCCAATGAACCACTGTGAGAGGGAAAGGTTTATGGAACGGAAGAAGCTGACTTACCCCAGTGCTTAATACCCCACACTAACACCAAATTTGTAGTCATAAACACAAGATTATAAATTTTTTCAAGTGAATTAAATTGGTGACATTCCTAGGTAGGAAACTTAGTGTTGATGATCAGAATTGACGGATTCGTATATTTAATACAATCCTGTCTTTCAAACAAAACTGCACATACAGTAGTCTTCATTAGCTAAACTACTCCATATTTCTCTTGAATATTCAATTGGTTAACTAAATATTATGGCAATTAACTCCGAACATTAAGAGTTCACCAGAAACACTTGTTTGCTTCCTTTTAGAAAATAAAAATATGAAGATCGAAATTAATTTTTTTTGCCACTTTTTAACCGAACTTGAAGGCAGGATCTTTGTGTGTCTTGCTCATTGATGTATCCCAAGCTCCTGGAATAAAGCCTGACACACAGCCAGCACTCAATAAACAGTTGAGGAATGAATAAACTAGCCACTCTACTAGCAGGAAATTTAAATACTCATTGATGACTCTCAGGAAACTAACAACTAATTTTAGTTAGGGATTAACTAACAAAATTCCAGTGACAATAACTGTTATGTGGGTACTTGTTCCATTTATACTTCATATTCAGTTATATGCTAATGTGTTATCAGAACTCTTTTGATGCCTTTTATCAAATGTCAACATACTGCCACCTCTTGAGGCTCAAGTGAAAAGATCACTTATGCTGGTGAGTTGTTGAATTTGTGGATTATAAATGTTTGTAGTCTTTGTTTTATTAAAGCAGAGAATAAATAACATGAGTAAGAATTTAAGTTTGTATACTTCGATTATCTAAAGTCCTTAATAAATATACCTAGCTTTTCAAATGTAGGCGTTACACTTTGAGCAATTTTTCATGAAGCCCAATCTCTGACTGAATGTCAGAGATTTGGCCTATGTTTTTTATTATGAAATATCAAATATTGGGGCTTATGTATAACTTATATTTTAAGTATGAATGTAACTATAATTGCCATAAGCATCTGCATTTTTAATCTTACTCTTAAAGGAGACATAATATGAGTTGCATAGAACGACCAGATATTCCCTTCCCGTCTGTTGTCCATGGCACCCTCCTGTTGGCAGAACACTCAGGCCACTCTCACCTGGTCTCCAAATGCACTTTGCAGAGGGGGCCACACCACAGTAGAGTCCTTCATGCCACTTTCCAAACAGCCGGTGCACCACCTTCCCCTCCTGATCTATCACCACCCCCTGTATTTCATTCATGTTAGAATTCCAATAATTCACCTGGAAAAACCAAACCCCAATTGTGACATTTGAGGGCTTTAATAACACAATTCCCTATATTTTCCATATAGAAAAATTTCTTAGCCTTGAAGTCCCTTATTCAAACCATTTTCAGAAATACAGAAATCTCAAATGTTTTATATGGAGGGCTGGCTTTCTAAGAGTTAGCTTAACTTTCCGGAAAGGGATGGTCTCTATTCCATGCATAACATGGTAGCATATCACAGAGAAGGCTCAGTTTCTATCCTAAGAACCCAATATTAATTTCTAGGCTAGCAATTTTTTTCCCTCTTGTTTTGAATTTTCCTCTTGCTCATGGATTTTAACAAATTTCAATTGGCCATGCGGCAGAAATTGTTTGTGAAACAATTATCATAGTATCTATAAATGGCCAAATTTTATCAGGAGGATCCTCATGTGGCCCTTCCAGTCATACTCCTTCCCAAGGGATAAGAAGTCTATGGCAGTTTGCCTACTTGGACCCCATGATCCCCCTTCCAGATCAGGCCCCAAGTATACAGGACCCTAGAATTCCTTGTCCAAGTAGCTCCAAGCTTATTCCACAGCTGGCAAGGCCCTTTTCCTTGGATTCATGCACCCAAGGGCAGACCACCCACCAGCGTGTGCACATTTAGGTCTGAGGGGTGGCCAAGGGTGGCTGTTTGTGGGGGTGTGAACAGAGCTTAGATGTGTGGGCTGGACTGCCTATATATGTGTGTATGAGGCCCCTTGCAGTGAAAACAGAACCAGAGGTGGGAAGAAAGCAGGGAAGGCCGTGGGCCAGGACTGGCTGTTCTACATCGCCAGGGTTACAGTACAGCGTTCTGAAGGGTGCAACCTGGCCTCACAGGCTTTGTTATAAAAAGTGTATTTGTCAAGGCAAAGAAATAGAGCATATTCTATTTGATAGTGTACAGGCTTGATTTACATATTTTAGTTAATTATACAGGCTCTGCAAGTGTTAGAGACGGGGCTGCACTGCAGCTTCTCATAGCCTACAAAGCCAAATGTACATATTTACATCACCGAGCCACAGCACATAGGGATCTTGGCTCTTCAGTTCTAGGTACCTTATGAGTCTCTAAGAAAAAAGGTAATGACCAACATTTTGGGCTAAAATAAAGGTATTCAATTGAAATAAACATAACCTTCCAATATGGCTTAAAAGGATTTAACTGAGAAAAGAAAATAGTAGAGTCTTAAGACTCCATTATGTTACCTGTCTACCATATTAGAATGGGATCATGAATTGAACAGGTAAGGTAGCTGGGTGGGGTTTCCGTACCATGTTGAATTCAGTAGCACATCCAAACAAACATGGCAGTGATACTGAATGTTCCACTTCAGACCAGAGAAACTGAGGGAAAATGGCGCTTTTTGGGCATTTCCATTCCAAAATTTTCTTGTTAACAAGGCTAATGTTTCTGGTTGAACTTATTTGAATTATAACAGCAGCAGGGTTAGATACGCATGTAGTGACTGGTGGTGATCATCTACATGACTACATCAAGTGTCTGCAGAAAATGACAACATTATAATGAGTTCCCGAAAATCAGATCACTTGAACACATAATCAAGCAGGAAGAGAAACAGAAATATAAACTAGAAGATTTATAGTCAAGAAGTGTTTTCTGGAATTTTATTTAGTGAACAACTGACTGGCTACTTCAAAAGAAAATTCTTTAAAAAGAAATGTGTTTTTTTCTGTTTTAGATGGTGCCTTTTTTGACCTCCATATGTTCAGAAACTTGCATGCCTTGAAAAACTCTATCAGTTGGTTCTGCTCTCTTATCTAAAACGTCCGTAAGGACCAATGATACAGGACAAATTCACTTGCTGCTATTTAAGGTGATTATTTCTTCTTTAAGAAGCGTTTTATACTCATTTTCCTTTACTGTTGTATGATAGTATTTACCTTGACAAATGTGAGTTTGCAAATGCAAACACTGCTTTTGGTATTTCTGATGGTTACTTCTCCATAATGTTCTATCCATCTTCTTCCACTGAGGATGTTGTGTATGCAAGTGGTGACTTTATTCCACACATAGTAATCTCCGTACCTAGTGAAGAATGTAACATTGATGAAAAACAACGAAGGTCACAAATACACATAACTGTTTCTACTAATGAGGATATTCTTTGGCCAAAGCTTTTTCCCTGATTTTCCTCTCATTTTTGTCTTGAAATTCCCTCTGTGGTCATAAGTATTTACGATGTGGTTAATTCACTTAAGGAATATTTAAATACTTTCTATGGGCCAGGTGCTAAAGCTACAAAGTGGAACAGAGCCTGTTTCCTGCTTTTCTGGGGACAAAAGTATGGGAGGGTAGATGGATATGCAAACAAATACTGAAAATGTGCACATCATCGGAACACAGAAGGAAGAGTTTTTAGTCCTTCAATCTGCCTGGAACGTGGGATGAGTGTCAAGGAAGATACCTTAGAAGAGGCTGGGTTTGGTGTAAGCACGGATGGCTGGTAGGAGGGCACCATGGGCTGGGGAAGGTAGGAGGGCACTATGGGCTGGGGAAAGCATCCACAAAGCCACAAAGGTCAGAAGAGCACAAGGCATCCAAGCCTGTGAATGCTGTGCTCCAGGTGAATGCGGGTGGCAGGACACAAGGAAGGAAAGGTGTGATGAGGCAGAGCCGGGAAGGCCTGCACGGACCTACCAAGGAGTCTGGATTTACCCTGCAGGCAATGAGCCACCGCTGGATTCTAGGTAGGAGGTAGGCACCATAGAGTGTGCACTGAAGAAAGATCACTCTGGGAACACTATTTCGTACTCCAGGTTTAAGACCTCAGATGTGAATAATTATTCGGGAAAAGACTGAAGAGCATACTAAGATGGCACAAATCTAATACAAATTCTGCGGAGCAAGGTTACAGAATTTCTGCTAAGGAATGAAATGATAATAGTTTAAAATCACATTTAAGTTTGTACATTACATAAATTTTCAAATGAAATGTCACATCAACATAGAAAAGATGCTTCTAAGTTTCTGCAAAGTTTATGAATTGGTATGATGTAGACACCATATATACCTAGGAAAACTCTCTTCCTTATTTCTTTTCTTTTTTTTTTTTTTTTGAGATGGAGTCTTGCTCTGTCGCCCAGGCTGGAGTGCAGTGGCACAATCTCAGCTCACTGCAACCTCCGCCTCCCAGGTTCAAACAATTCTCCTGCCTCAGCCTCCCGAGTAGCTGGGATTACAGGCGCATGCCACCACACCCATCTAATTTTTTGTATATTTAGTAGAGATGGTGTTTCACCATGTTAGCCAGGACGGTCTTGATCTCCTGACCTCGTGATCCGCCCACTCAACCTCCCAAAGTGCTGGGATTACAGGCGTGAGCCACCGTGCCCGGCCTACACGTTCAAATATTCAAAGTTTATTTTGTGGTCCTAGGAATATCTCCCTCTCTTCACCTTCTTCTATATCCAATTCATCTGGAAATTCTGTCATTCAAATAGATAAAACCGAAGAAACAAGCCCTTGGCCTCAATAAAAATTCCAATTAATTTCAAAATATTTAGAGGCGGTATCCCTAGAACACAACCATAAAAGAATTTCATCACTCTTCTTTGATAAAATATTGCCTGGATCTAAGATGAACTCAAAAGTGAAACCGAATTGTATAGCAAAGAATGGCTAAACAGGAGAACCTTTTATATAAAATCAAACTAGCATGACGACTGGGTCATGGGAGGTACCTGGTGGTATTGACTGAAGAATGGAGGATGTGAAGAAATAGACAGGAAGCTTTGCTACATATGCTTAAGTTCTCATTTGTTTTTGTGGGAGTCTATTCTCAAAACTTTGGCAAAGGTAACAGAAGCCTTGGGTATATGGGGAAATAAACCCTTACCATCTTCTAGAGTTTAAAATACCCATTTGTGATTTAGAAAAGCAGACAAGAGGCCAAAAGGGAGGTGTGAGTCACCTACTTTGGAAGCGTGACATTCAGTGTTCCCACAGGCAGGATTTCCATCGACTTCCCCCAGAACTTGTTTTTCCATCTGATATCTAAATGACATAGGCAGAGGACAAGAAAGACATACCCCATATCTAATCACTTCTTCTGTAAAAATTAACTTTTGTATTACACTTTACAAAAAACCTTTGGAATGACAACTGATTCTATATTGTTGATTTAGTATCATAAGTGCCTGAAAATGGTCCAAGGTGAAAATATCAACTGTGCACCAAAAAACAAACAAACAAACAAACAAACAAAACCCACTATCTATGTTTCTCTGTAATATATGCTCTTTATTTGTTTTCAACTAACAGAGCTGGAAGAAGCCTGGAACAGTGTGTGTGGTGTGTGTGTGGGTGTATATTCACATTATACATACAAACATAGACTCCACTGTGCTTTAATGTCCAGACAGCAATAAATGTTGTTATAAGTTTTAACTAAGTGGCAAAAATAGTTAACAAATATATCGAGCATAAGATGTATACTAAAAGTAATTGCAGTTTAGCAATACAATTAATTTATATATACATTTCCTTCCATATCAAAGACATATAATTTGGGATTGCAGTTAAAAAAAATCTCTAAATACAGATAAAATAAAATTTACAAAATAAGACTTACGAGAGAGTGGGATTAACTTAAGGAATGTGTTTATACTGGTTGTTAAGATGTAGGCCAGGGCCCAGCACTTTACCTCATATGATGGCTTTGTGTTTTACGTGTGGAAACTTGGATTTATTTGTGCATTTGTGATAACCACCTGGTTCCATTTTGATGAACTAAGGGAATTTCGTGCCATCTCCACAAAATGCCTGATTCTTGGTGATGACCAAGAAATGATCAAATATTTATATGTATTGCAAAAATAAATCATAAAATAAAGAAATAAATGATATTTTATTATTTATTCATAATATAAATAAATATTAATTAATATATTAATACATTAAATTATCATATCATATTATTAATATTATTTATTAATAATATTAATAAATATCTATTAATAAAATATTTTATTATTTTAAAATAAATAAAATCATAAAATAAATAAAATATTTATTTTTGCAATAAATCATAAAAATAAATTTATGATTTATTTTTGCAATAGAGTACAGTTATAGTGTTCTATCATTTTTATGTGTTTTCAGGTTAAGAAAATGCTCATGAGAAAAGTCATTCTGTGAGTAATGAAGCACCCTTCTAAACATGAAGGAACTATTTACACTTAATGTTCACATTTAAGTACATATTCTTTTCTTTGTAAAGGAGTTTAGAAACTTTTTTGTATTAGGCAAGCTTGTAACATTCTGACTTAACTAATGAGTAGAGACTTCAATCCAAACTCTTAAGCCCCAGTGAGTTAAAGGTCAGGAATTACTGTAATGTTTGCATATCTCTTTCGATTATGACCATTGATGATGTGTCATAGAGTCTTCCTTCAGAATTAAAATGTCTTTGCACACCCCCAAAAACCAAGAAGGCAGCAGATGGAACCTCCATGTTACAGATGCAGACAATGAGGCACATGAGATAAGGTCGTGGCTCTGCACCGGCACAGTCCACATGGAGCTCTGCTATTCCATACGGCATTGCTTCCAAGATAAGCAGTCTTATCTCCTAGCTGAAACCGTTTCATGTTGAAACCAGGAATTTCGATTTCTCAAACTGAGCTCTGCACCAATTACCAACATTCGCTGAGTTCCAAAGGTAGAAATCTAAACTGAATACAATGTCCCTTTGGAAGCCAGACGTTTTTTCATAGGCTCATACATTTGATTTTAAATTATAATTGAAATACAAACCTTGCCAAAACACAAAATTCTTTGATTCACAGTGACAGGCAGAAATGGGTGGATGATGGCTAACCTGGTAATTAAAAACAACAAAGAAGGCAATATCAGTGTTAAAACTTCCACATGATCATCCATTTCTCTTACCGAATTATTCTCAAAATGTATAAGTAAATCTGTTAAGACTTCATGCTTTAAAAAACACTGAGAACTTACACAATTTAGAGGGAGATATGATGCCCATAAGTGAAGTGATTTTCTTTCCTTCCTTCCTTCCTTCCTTCCTTCCTTCCTTCCTTCCTTCCATTATACTTTAAATTCTGGGTTACATGTGCAGAACGTGCAGTTTTGTTACATAGGTATACACGTGCCACAGTGGTTTGCTGCACCCATCAACCCGTCACCTACATTAGGTATTTCTCCTAATGCTGTCCCTCCCCTTGCTCGCCACCCCCCGACAGGCCCCACTGTGTCATGTTCCCCTCCCTGTGTCCATGTGTTCTCATTGTTCAACTCCCACTTATGAGTGAGAACATGAAGTGTTTAGTTTTCTGTTCTTATGTTAGTTTTCTTAACGTGTGAAAAGAAAATAAATCTCAGGACCACCTGCTTCCCATGTTATTCCTAAAAAAGATAGCTACAAAGATTTTTTTTTTTTTTTTTTTGAAAAAAGGCTACCTCTCTCTCTCACAATTTGCCCAAAGGAAATTCTTTGTGGGCCTCAGGATCTTTACCCTAAAACAGTTCTGTTGAATTTCACCCTGGCAATGTATGTTGATAGCTTATCTTCACAGGTACGGGACCAAAGATTGACAGAACTCAGTCATCCTTCTGCTCACCTGAGACAAATGAGTATCTGATTACTACTGTCTGTGTAAAAATGCAGATTCACTGAGCCAGACTGAAGCATAAGTGACTCTCTCTCTACCACCCTCTCACATGTAAATTGTGTATTCAGTGAAAGGCTGATCAGAGACCCAAAAGAATGCAACCTTTCTTATCTACCTATGACCTGGAAGTCTCCATTTCCAAGTTGTCCCACCTTTCTGGACAGAATCAATGTACATCTTACATATATTGATTGATGTTGCATATCTCCCTCAAATGTTTAAACCCAACCTGTGTCCAGAACACCTTGGACACATTTCATCAGGACCCCCTGAGGCTGCGTCACAGGTGTGTCCTTAACCTTGGCAAAATAAACTTTCTAAATTGATTGAGACCTGTCTCAGATACTTTGGATTCACAACTGGTATCATTACCCATCCCAACAGATTGTTATCAAAAGGCTGCTTTCACCACCAAACTGCCCTCTTACCTATATGAGTCCAGGGGCGCTTACCTGTTCTGAGAAAAAGCGGAATCCCTTGTCTTCTCTAATGCATTCATAGGTCTCCCCAAGGACTGGGTTGAATGGCTTACTTCCTGCTCTGAAATAGGTGGAGCAGTATCCTGAAACTGCAAATGCAGCAACGAGAACCTGTTAAAACATTGAAGAAAAGGAAATAATATAGGAGAGACGACTGCTAGGTCTGTTTGTTCCTTTTCCCTCTAGATTTTACACACCCCATGTGGATGGGTGTTGATTTGATGACAGTTGCATTTTCTATTGTCTGCACAGAATGTTTACGAACTCGTGGGGAAAAAAATAAGTAAAATTAGGTAAAACTACTAGCACGGAAACCAGCAGGCCATTGAGGTGAAGCATTCTTCACCCTTCCATCCAACATCATGAGTATCACAGAGTTCAAAGGTTCTGGAACCCAGTTTATCGGTTCTGCCACGGGCATGATCTTAGCCTCATGTGCACAAGGATTGTGTGGTTGTGGGTGCTTTTCAGAGGGGACAGCACGTTTCCCGCAGCCATATGGGGTAAAGGGTGAAGTATAAACAGAAGTTATTTTCTCAGACCTAAGTTCCTGAACAGATGGGCTATCTTGACATTCAGGAAAAACTGATAAAGTGAGGCAAGGTGTGCCTACAACCTCTAAGGAGTATAAGACCTTTACACCTTAACTTTAGAAACACTCTAGACCAAGGATAAGGCACAAAAAGTGTGTCTTCCTGTGTTGGTACCTGGGAGGTTTTGGCCTCACCTGATTTATGCAAACAGGTCAATTCCTCTTTTACTATGCAGTGAGAATATTATGCAAATGCCAAATATATCATCATAATGAATTCTGGTTTAGCCCAGGTCTAGGACTGGCAAATCCTTGAGGGGCGCTGCTGTTAGTTATTTATTACCATGCGCTCATATGGATCATCAGTTTCTGAAGCCTTGTCCAGGAGCTCGCTGTATTCCATTTCCTCGCAGAGGTGCTGCAGGGTGTTGAGTGGCTCATTTAGCTCCACAGGCATGGAGACTTTAGACAGGTCTTTACCAATGTTGTTCCTCAAGATATTCCACAGGTTAATGTTACTGGTGTCAGGACAAGGAGCTGGCAGGCATGTTCGACGCCCATTTCGGAAGGCCCCTCCTGTAAGCTCCCCATTCAGGACTGGAAGAGGGAAAGTCACAGTGAACAACACTTTGCTGTTCTGATTTCACAAAATCAAGAAGGGAAGTAACTTTCAAATAAATCTGATTTTGAGACATTTCGAGAGTCTTCATTATATCCTTTCAAAAGTAAATGGAATTCTTTCAATGCAAGGTGGCTAATAAATGCAGAAAACAAGTGTATACTTTTATAAATAAGGCATTAAATATACTCAAATATCATTCAAGACAGGCTAAGTTTTAAAAAATTAAATATATTTAATAAGAGGGACTCAAGCTGTTGGTGTGAGAAAGAGGAAAAACCTTTTCTCTTAACCATTTACCTAACAGATTTTTCAACCATTTACCTCAAGAGATTATACAAAATAGAATGCATTGAACAAATCAGCTGCCAAAAGAACAATTAGTGGGGGGGTGTCGGGGGGATGCCTGTTCATTAAGTCTTCAGTGTTGCAATTTGGCATGTAGATAGAACAACCTGGAAGCTCAAATGATGCATACTTTGCCGAGAAATATTGTCTGCAACACTGGTGTTGTCTTCAGATATATTATCACTCACATCACTGATGTAAGACTCATCATCTGAAGCCTAAGGGAGGGAAGAACATACAAGGATCAGAATTCTTGTTCAGTCTTGCAAGCTCAGATAATCCAGTGATTAAAAATAACAAAACATTGTTCCAGTGAGAAGCAGAGGTCCCAGAGGAAAAGTATTTGGCATATGTGCAATGAACACTTGAGGGTCTTCATGAACTAGGATATAGGATCACTAAAAGGGAGCCTGGTCTTTAACTCCTTGTCTTAGTAGGGGCAGGAGGGCGGGAGAGACCAGTAAAGAACCAGAAATATTTTAGCATAATACACTAAGAATGTTTCAGGTTGGTGCGAGACTACTTGCAGTTTTTGCCATTACTTTCTTTTGCACCAACCTAATACCTAAGAGAAGGCCCTATGACTCTACCTTAGAGGACTCAGGAGAGGCTGCCCAGGGGGCAATATTTAAACTGGGTGTTAGAGAATGAATAGGAGTTGCCCAGTTGTTAGAAGGGACAGAAGCACATGAAGAAGGGAGATTGTGCAAATGTAAGGCCCATGAGAGCAACATTTATCCCAGGAATGCAAAGGATGTTGAGAGTGGCTGTGGCAGAGGGTAGAGAAAACAAGAGGGCCCAACAGTGAAGGGCTTTTCATGCCAACAAAAAGGGTTCATATGCAATCCTAAGAGGAAAACCAACAAAAATGCACGGATGTTGGAATCAGATTTGGTTTTCAGGAAGATATTTGGCAGCTTTCCCTAGGGAGGCCAGATACTAGGATGCTGCATAGATCCGGGTAAGAAATACAGCTTAGTCGGCTGGGTGTGGTGGCTCACGCCTGTAATCCCAGCTCTTTGGGAGGCCGAGGCAGGCAGATCACAAGGTGAGGAGATCGAGACCATCCTGGCTAACATAGTGAAACCCCGTCTCTACTATAAATACAAAAAATTAGCCGGGTGTGGTGGCAGGCGCCTGTAGTCCCAGCTACTCAGGAGGCTGAGGCAGGAGAATGGTGTGAACCCGGGAGGCAGAGGTTGCAGTGAGTTGAGATCACACCATTGTACTCCAGCCTGGGCAACAGAACAAGACTCTGTCTCAAAAAAAGGAAATACAGCTTAGATTCAGATGGCCTCTGTGACAATGGGGAGAGACGAATAGTGAAGCCACCTCCTGCATGAGAAAAATGTGAAACTAAAATGAAACACAAATTAGCAGAAAAATGAAATTAAGGAAGAACGTACATACTAAAGGGACTTAGAAACAGAGCAGATCAGGAAAGAGAGGGTAAGACAGAACCATCAGAGGAATGGGAAAAGTAATGACTTTCCTGCAGGCAAGAAAGCTGCTGATACTTACTTCCTTCAAAATGGAAACAATGCTATATTTTTTTCTGAATATAAAACATTCTTATTGTAAAAAATTAGAAAATAGGTACGAGTAAACAGATGAGTATGAAAATTACCTATCAGCCCATCACCTATAGGAAACCACGTAACATTTTGGTGAGTATTATCCTCCAATTTCAAAATGCCTGTACAAACATATTGACACATCTATCTTTATATACTGAAAAAGGAGAACAGCTTACATATTGCTTTATAGCATTCTGAATACGTTTTCATTATAGTAACTACAGCTACTTTATTTGGAAAGGCAACATAATTCATTATATGATTATAACAAGGAATTTAACCAGAATGTAGGTGGTTTCTAACATTTTATTATTATAGACAATACCTGGATGAACATGCTTGCAAATATATTTTTGTAAATCTGCCTGGTGATTACATTAAAATTTTTTTGTAGATCAGATGGGTCACTTTGAGGCTTTAGTTCCTTGTAGCCAAATTGCTCTCCTGAAAGACTGGATTAGTTTGTTCTCATCAGCAATATATGGGAACATCATCCGTCTTTCCACACCCACTTAAACACTTCACACTATCCATCTTTTTTTAGTACTTACCTGGTATACATAAAAGATCACTTTTTTTTTTTTTTTTTTTTGAGACAGACTCTTACTCTGCTGCCCAGGCTGAAGTGCAGTGGTACCATCACAGCTCACTGCAACCTGGGCTCATAACTCCTGGGCTCAAGGGATCCTCCTACCTTAGCCTCCCAAGTAGCTGGGACTACATGCACACACTCCCATGCCTGGCCTATTAAAAAATAATTTTTTTTTAGAGATGAAGGGTCTTGCTATGTTACCCAGGCTTGAACTCCTAGCTTCAAGCAATCCTCCCACTGCAGCCTCTCAAAGTGCTGGTATTACAGGTATGAGCCATTGCACCTGGCCAAAACATTGCTTTAAAGTTTGAATTTCATCCTTTATGAACTAATTTTCTTATATTTCACACATTTTTCAGTTTGACATATAGATTACATTTTTCTTAACTTGCATTTTTAAACTTTGTTTATGCCAATTTTTTTTGCCATGTAAAAATTTTGAATTTGTACATAATAAAAACAATTGGTCTTTGTCTTTAAGGTTTCTGGATTTACTGCTGTTTTAAAAATTAGGGTTGAGAAGAATTCATATATTTAGGGATAACAGTGATGGACAGAATGATTGCATGCATGGACGAGTAATGGTAATTTTGTTTTTGAACACAGAGTAAGCCCATAAAGATGACAAATTGAGAATAAAATCTTTTTCTGATTCATATTTTCCTACTGCAACAGGTTCCCGCAGTTCCTACTGACTGCAGTAGAGTTGAAGGTTAAACCATCAGGCTTATGAAAAGCCAACTTCTTATGCTTGAAAACAAAAAAAAAGTAAATCAAACTCCTCTGTGTGATTTCACTGAAAAAAATCTAATCATGCTCAATTATGTTTGAGGAGACAAATGTCTACCTAAATCAAATTCACATTGCAGGCATGTTTATTGTTTTTAAGAAAACACTCATGTTTATCCTACAAATAGCTATAAAGTCTATGCTTCTTCAATTTCCTTTCTTTCCTCTTTCTTTCTTTTTCTCTTTCTTTCCCTCCCTCCTTTCTTTCCCTTTCTCCCTCTCTCTCTTCCTTTCTTTCTCTTTCCCTTCCTCCTTTCTTTTCCTCCCTCCCTCTCTCTCTTCCTTTCTCTCTTTCTTCCTTCCTTCCTTTCTCTTTCCTTCCTTCCTTTCTTCTTTCTCTCTCTCTCCCCCTCCTTTCTCTTTTTCCTCCCTCCCTCTTTCCTTCCTTCCTTCCTTTCCTTTCCTTTTCCCCTTCCTTTTCCCTTTCCTTTCTCTTCCTCCCTCCCTTTTCTTTTCTCTCTCTCTCTCTTTCTCTCCTTCCTTCCTTCTTTCCTTCTTTTTTGATACAGGATCTCTTTCTGTCATAATGGAGTACAATGGTACAATCATAGCTCAACACAGCCTTTACCTCCTGGGCTCAAGGGATTCTCCCACCTCAGCCTCCTGAAGGAGCTGGGACCACAGGCATGCACCACCATACCCAGCTAATTATTCAATTTTTTTCTGTAGAGGTGAGGGCTCCCTGTATTGCCCGGGCTGGTCTCAAACTCCTGACTCAATCATCCCACCTCGGCCTCCCAAAGTGTTGGAATTACAGACATGAGCCACCATGCCTGGCCTTCGTCTTCAATTTCTAATCTCTCCCAAACTAATATATCATAGAAATGATCTGAAATCATTGGTGTAAAAGAATTCTACAATATTAGTGGGCCTTGAGTAAGATGTATACATGTCATATGTGTGTATAACTAAGGCTGGGCTCTCTTGCTGTGGTCCATTCATGCCACCCTGTACAAAGAGCTAAGGCTCTGCACTATTAGAATAAAACAGTTTATCCTCTGTCCCATGGTTAAGAAGTCCTGGAACCAAATATTTCTCTTTACAAACTTAGGGATTCAAAAGAGTTCAGAAAATATGTATTTTTCCTAAATGTGACCAGCCATGTAGCATTGCAGAAACAAGTTTAAAAGCAAAGGCAAATAGATTATTGTGGAAGCAAGAAGACCATTTTTTAAAAGAGCAGAGGATTCATTCAATAAAGTGCATTGGTAAATAACATATAAAGAGGATTTTTCCCTCAGCCATGGAAAATGTTAATGTAAGACAGCTAATGCCCAGATGTTTCTCAGAATAACCATTATAAGCATTTCTTCCTTTGCTCAGTTAGCAGATATTTATTGAGTACCTGCTCTGGGCTCACCAGAACTGTTTTAGTGCAGGAGACCCAGTGGTTAAATCTCTGCCTTCATGACATTTATGTTCTAGTGGGGCAGACACACAACAAATGAAATACAGGAAATATATATATATATATATTTTTAAGATAGTGGTAAGCATGAAGGAAAAAAAAAAATGAGGAAAGAGGGACACAAAAGGCCAGAGGAGGCCAGGCACAGTGGCTTACGCCTGTAATCCCAGCACTCTGGGAGGCCAAGGCAGGCGAATCACTTGAGGTCAGGTGTTTGAGACTAACCTGGCCAACATGGTGAAACCTCGTTTCTACTAAAAACACAAAAATTAGCCAGGCGTGGTGGTGCATACTTGTAATCCCAGCTACTTGGGAGGCTGAGGCAGGAGAATTGCTTAAACCCGGGAGGTGGAGGTTGCAGTGAGCCAAGATTGCACCACTGCACTCCAGCCTGGGTGACAGAATGAGAGATTGTCTCAAAAATAAACAGAGAAACCCCAAAAGGTCAGAGGAAAGGAGGAAATGGCAACTCTAAATTGTAGATAGGACAGCCAGCATAGGCTTCCCTGGAGGTGACCTTTGAGTAAGGGACTAAAGAGAGTGAAGGAACTGAAGTTGCGGATCTCTGGGGGAAGTGCTTGGGCCAGGGTAGATGGCAAGTGCAGAGGCCCAATTTCCTTTGGCAGCTGCAGTGCAGGATACACAGCTTGAGCCTAACCTGCAGCTGCTGCTAGGATTCCCACATGTACAGTCAACTCACCGGGTGGGTTGCCAAGACTATGAGTGTGAAGGCGCAAGGAGCCTTCTGAGGGGACCTCATCACAAGGTGATATAGTTTGGATGTGTGTCCCCATCCAAGTTTCACGCTGAAATCTAATCCCAGACTGGATCACGGGAATGGTTTTCTCTGGAATGGTTTAGCACCATCCCCTTTGGTACTGTCCTCCTGATCGTGAGAGAGTTCTTATGTGATCTGGTAGTATAAAAGTATGTAGCAACTCCCACCTTGCTCTCTTGCTCCTGCTCTGGTCATGTGAGGGCCGGCTTCCCCTGGACCTTCTACCATGGTTGTAAGTTTCCTGAAGCCTCCCCAGAAGCCAAGCAGATGCCAGCATCATGCTTCCTGTACAGCCTATGGAACTGTGAGCCAATTAAACCTCTTTTCTTTATAAACTACCCAGTCCAGATATTTCCTTATGGCAATGTGAGAACTGCCTTATACATAATGGAACTTAGAGACTTGGGCAGATGAGGTTGTCCCAGAAACCAAGTCTTAGCTGAAGGGGAAAAGCAACTCTGAGAACATCATAATGTCTGTCACTTGGGTTTATCTCCTGGCCTACCCCCTTTAAATACTTAAGGCCAAGTATTGTGATAAAGGGAGAAGTTGCAAGTAAAAACAGTAATTTTATGAAAACCTGTGAGGTACAGGGCACAAGGAATGGGGGTACAGTTCAGTTCTTTCCAGTGTGAGTTGTAAGAGACAGTCACTCTCATTGCCACAGCAAGGGACACAAGGTATCTTTAACAAATAGTCAACTCCAGAAATCATTCCTTTGGCTGTTGGAAGGCTCCAGAAGAGAGGTGGCATGAGGCTGGAGCTGAGAGCAGGCATCAGATTATAAGGGTCTTTGTTTTAATAGATAAGGAGTTTAGAATGTTATCCTAAGGACACTGGGTAATAGAGACATGATCAGACTTGCCTTTTAGGAATATTACTCAGGTTGCCCAGTGGAAAATGGATGGGAGGCAGCAAGATGGGAGACTGGAAGTTATGAGACTGATGGGTGATCTAGGTGGGGAGCAGATGGGAACTGAATTGGAGCAGTGGCAGTGAAGCTGCAGGAAGATGTACAGATCTAAGAGTATTTAGATGATGGAAGCTACAGAACCCAAGTGAATTAAGGTGGGTGGCAGTAAAGGGAAAAAAGAGTAAAGGAAAATCTTCAGGCATTTTGTGTGAACAGTTGGGTAGAGGGGCACTTAGATAGGTGACATGAGAGGAATGGGCAGGCTGGGGTTTCTCTCCTGGGGGAGTGGTGGGGCTTGTTGATGAAATCTTTTGGGACATGCTGAATTAGAGATTCTGTGAGCACCAGGTGTCAATGCCTAACAGGTAGTTGACTGACTCTCGGATGGTTCTGTCCTTGAGCTTTAGACTTAAATATTCAAATGCCTGACAGGTAACTCCACTGAGAAGTCTGATAAACTCATGATGCCTCACAGTGAATGTCTCATCTCCCTGTGACCCCGTCCTCCACCTTCTTATCCTGCTCTCTGCCACCACATTCACTCCCCCACCCCTCACCTGTCCCAGGTTGGCACCATCATCTTGCTTGGACTCATGCAATAACCCGCTTCACATGCTCTTCATTTCTGTATACCCAGTGTTCAGGGCAAGCAGTACCTGGGGACCCAGCTAGGTGTGCCCCAGGGACTCAGAAATAGCTCTCAGAGAGGTAAGCTATGAAGTCATCAGATGATAGGTCAGAACTCAGATAATGCACGGTCAAGTCTGACTGTAACCTGACAAAAGAAGGATGAAGGGGTCGGACACAGAGGCTCACGCCTGTAATCCCACACTTTGGGAGGCTGAGGTGGGCAGATCACCTAAGGCCGGGAATTTGAGACCAGCCTGACCAACATGGAGAAACCCCATCTCTACTAAAAAAACAAAATTAGCAGGGCATGGTGGCACATGCCTGTAATCCCCGCTACCTGGGAGGCTGAGGCAGGAGAATCACTTGAACCTGGGAGGCAGAGGTTGCGGTGAGCCAAGATCGCACCACTGCCCTCTAGCCTGGGCAACAAAAGCAAAACTCCATCTCAAAACAAAAAGAAAAACAAAAACAAACAAACAAACACAACAACAACAAAATGATAAAGGATGGGTCAGCAATGGGAGCTCAGGAGGCAGAGTCAGAAAAGGAAATTTTGGTAGCATTATCGACAGCATGGTGGTCCCTGGGGGTGCAGGCAGACAGACACAAATACCAAGTCCTTGTGGCAGAGTATCCCTATGATGGAGGGTGAGTGTGGAGCTCTAACATTCTGGCCCCCTAGCCTTAAGTTTACTCATGTCCCTTGCTCACCAGGCAATCTCTGACTAGAATTAGGCTTGCCATGCAGATTTGCCTACAGGAAAAGACGCACTAATTAGCAAGGATGATTATTCTGTCCATCTGAAAGTATGTATCAGTTACCATCACAGATCATTAAATTAGCATTCCAGCCTGCGAATGGAAGTCTCTGTGAACCTGTTAATGCATGCCTTGGGATCTGAGAGGCAGGTGCATGCCTTGGTATGCTGACAAATTCAGTATTTGATACAAGAATTCTATTTTACTTTTCTCCCATTATAAAAATGATATGTATTCATTATTGCTTTCTCTTTTCCACTTTGTCTTTGTTTCTAAAATCACTCATAATTTCAAACATCCAAAAACAACTACTACTAATTGTCAGGATGTTTCCTTCCGATCTGTTTTCTATGCATATGGAAATAATGTTTAGCAATGATTTCATTTCTTTTTTGTAAAAATGCAGTACAGATTTGCAATCCCAAATGACAAAATTCCTAATCAGCTGTGTGGAAAAGAGTTTTGGCTGCTTTCCTCATGCCAAAAAAAGTTGACTACACTGTAGTAAAAGAACTAATTTCTGCAACCTGACCAAGGAAGAGGTTCCCTGTTTCCAAGACCTTGGCAAGAATCATAAGCATGAAGAGCAATCCAGTACAGCTTTTATGATAGTCAGCGGTTACCCTCCAAAAACCATAATTACCCAACTAGCTACGTGCTACATAGTATCCTTCTAATCTTAAATTCATGTCCCTAGCGAAAATATCTAGTATGTATGTGTCGGTGTATGTGTGTGAATGGTGCTTTCCTAATTCTCTCATTCTTTCTATATTTATTAGCTAGTCTCCTTCTATAAAGAGCTCTGTCATAAACTCTTTTGTTACCCTGAAATATGAATCATAGAAGACACTCCAATAAATGTTGTTTCTTTCCCTTAATTCATCAAATTTAAATTCTTGATGCTCAGAAACGTTAAACACTCAGTAATTGGTAACTGATATAGTTTGCGTGCTTTTAGCTTTGCTACAATTTGGGCATCTTACTATGATGTAAACAAAAAAGAAAAAAATGAAAGTAATCACCAAAAAGTTCCACAGTTTTATTTTCTTTAACTCAAACTCAGTCACAAGATGTTGAGGCCAACAAGTCAAGAAGGCATACATACCTCATTCTCTGATGAACTTGCAGAGATGAGCACCTCTTGGGCATCAAAGAACTCAGAAACAGACTCTGACATGGAGAGGCGGCTCTCATTGGCTACTTGCTGTGATAGGGGGAGACTGACATGGATTTGCTCACCAGCCTGCGGAAGACAGAAGCATACAGTGTAATTGCTTTTCCCCCTGTTAGAATAGCTATTCCTTTAATTAAATTAGCCAGATTTATACTCTTTAATACTGTATGTTAAAAAGTGGCGGCCACAAGTAATTTTCACTTGCAATTCAGTAATGACCACTGTATACGTTTCCTTCCAATGTGTCTAAAGACCCCAAAAGGAATAGTTGAAAGGTGTTGGTACTGTGCCTTGATTTTAAATCTTTGGTTGATTGATACTGAGTCAGGTTAAGCTGCTATGAATACCCTGATTGACTGTAGAGACAACTTCATTCTCTTATTCTTAGCTCTGTCATATTCTAACGGTACATTAAACATGAAGAAATATTTGTAGAAACTACTAGAGACATGCTAAGAAAATCCATAAAACTAATTTTTGAGACAGACTATATATGTCACTTTGCAATTTGATCATGAATTTTAACCAATAAAACACATGACTGGAATATTGAACCTTATTTCAAATTATACTTTTATTCAATAAGTTATAGTTTTCAAGGAAGCTATTCAAGTTTCAATTAAAAATGTAAGATATATATATTTTTTCTAGTGCACATTTCAGGTTGAAAAGAAGATTCCAACTGAGATGATCAAATTATTTTTGAATGACAAATTTTAGAAATACTTCTAGATTCTGGGCGGTTGAGTGAATATAAGTATTATCAGAGAATACAGAGCCCATGGAGGTGAATGAATTTAGGGTGGAAAACTTAAGTCGAAGACAAGTTGTTTTGGGATAACATTTCCTAAGAGGTTAGAACCCTTGTACCTATAGATTTCTAGTAATATGTATGTTTTTGGTACAAATATGACCTTAAAATCAGTTAAACCTCTCGTCTTGTTACATATATCATCACTGTATATAAAGCTCTAATATTACTGTTAAAAAGTGTAAGTTCTCATGCTATAAAGTAATAATTTTATGGAGAGTCATAAACAGAATTATACACTCAAGTTTAGCCCAAATACTGAATGTTCTCCTATTCTCTTAACATTTCTTCAAACTGAAAAATGGAATAATAATACCACCTAACACAGAGGGTTGTTGAGCGTGTCAAATGAGATCACACATGCAAAGTCGTTAGCACAATACCTAGCACATAGTAAGCATTACCTTGACACATGTCAGCTATTAATTAGCAGCAGCAGCAGCAGTAGTAGTAGCTGCAGCAGTACCATTAGCATTATCTTAACAAGGTCAGGAGACTTCTGTCCTTAGGGCTTTCAAACAAACCTTAAGAGCACTTTTACTTAGCAACCTTCTCAGCTAATTTTTTTTTTTTTTTTTTTTTCAACATTTCACCGGCCATTTGATGCTAATGAACATTTCTAATGACGAATGAGACAGACATTGAAAATTAACAAGTTGGAGTAGATATATAAATCAAATATTCAGTGGTATCAGGTGAACATAGGAATAAATACAAATAGACACTGATCACCAGGAATAAATGATGTCAAGCTCTTATATATCCTTTACTTCAAAGAACATTGAACTGTCAGCGACACAAATATTTATGGAGGGAACCTTTATTAACAGTGAAAGAACTGGATATAAATAAACAAAAATATGCAGTAAATTTAGATGCTAAAAAAATAGGTACTCTGCATCTATTTAAAATGAGTCTTACCTCATCAGGGCTAGGAATAATATTTACACTGACAACCTGATCACAAATAATAGACTCTGAATGTATTCTGTTCAAACGACTCCTTAGTTCAGCATTCTGGTTGAGTGCCTTAAAATAACAAAAACCACACATGTAATTTAAAATTAATAAGCAAGCATAAAACAGAACAAGTACGCAGGTACAAGTTAGACAATGATGTCTGTGATGTTCTTAGCTCTAAATTTTGAAGCCATCATGAGCCAGACCCTACCAGCAAGGAGTAAATAAATGGCTCAAAAATAAGGTATTAATTTTTTGTAATATAAGATTGCTACTTTGCGGGTTGGTGGGCTGAGTTAACAGATTTCATAAAAGTGATTCACGGAATTTTCTTTCCTTTAGAGTGAGGCCCATTATACTCAAGCCCAGTCTACCACTACATATATATTACTTTTTGCAGCCTATGATGAAAACTACTGTTTTCATTGAAAATTCTTTCACATTTTTGTTCTAGTTTCTAAAGTTTGGGAGTTGTTTCAAAACTGGGTAGCTACCTTAAAAATTAGTTAGAAATAGAATGAACCAGCTTTAGTTTATAGAATTAGATTTTCGTCTGTTTAAAGAAAACATCTGTATTTTCATTTTCCAGGAGCACATAATATATATGACAATGCTGCAGAACTAACTTAAGTGCAAACAAAAAGGTGTCTTCAATGAACAGTGTAGACACTGACAACCATAATAAGAACATAGCACTGAAAGTACACCAACTCTAAGTTCTCTACATGACACTACCTCCAACATGCTTTAAGTTAGCATCAGTAAAATACTACTTGCTACAACACAGTTTAGTATGTGGAGTAACTGCATTTATTACAAGAAGAGAAAAGTTTTACATAAGCATGGCATCCCTACAAGGACCCTGTTGACAAAGGTACAGTGAATCCTCTGGTAACGAACATCCCACTGATACACAGAAACATGTTCCATTTATAGAATACAGATGTAGCTAACTGGAATTGTATCAAGCCTCAAGTTAAAGACCTGTGAGAAGACAAGGCCCAGTGAAAAGATAGCTTTCTTTTCCTTCCCATTAAGATCAGCAATTAGAAGATATAAAGATATAAATGTCAGTGCCTAGTAAAGAGGGCATCTGCTTCAGGGAATGGGCATTCTGCTTCATTCAGAGCCAATGAATACAGTAAACCAATATAGACACAAATATAATCTCATTATTACAACTCTGTAGCTATTAAAACACCCAGGGTAAATACAAAGTAGCTAAACTCTTCATTGCCTTTTCTCTCCTCTCTCCATCCTGGTCCCCGAGTCTTTCCCTCCCTCCACCCAGTTTTTGCTTTTTGAGGACGTAACTATCACTTGCAGCCTTTGGCTTTTGTTTGAAGCTGTTAGAACCAGTGTGTAAAATATTTCAAATCATATACTTGATCTGGAGGACTGTCACATTGATGGATTAAAGGTGGATACAGATTCTACAGTCATTACATTTGGAGATAGGAGGAAATAAGTCTCTGACTATCTGAGAAAACAGGAATGTTTTAGGGGGAAGAAGGTGATAACATTCTTAGTAGATAAACCATGTGCCTCAAAGGAAGACTCCTAGTATCTTTTCAACCTGAGAAAGTGCTCAGGATCATTTTTCTTGGAGGAAAATCTCAAACACTTAGAATTAGAAAACAAAAACAAAAACAAAAAACCAACAACACTGCATTACTCTTATCTTTTGTGAGTACTATAGGCCTTTCTCCTATATGTTAGGACCACAAAAGATGCTGATTTCTTCTTCGTTCTCTGCCTACAAGTGAATGCATAGTTGCCTTAGTTACTGAAATATTTGGAACCATATATGCTTTGGTGCCATATAAGTGGGAGGCTATTTGATAGTTTTAATAGCAGAATCACAGTTTTTGTTGTTGTTGTTTGTTTTGAGACAGAGTCTTGCTCTGTCACCCAGGCTGGAGTGCAGTGGTGTGATCTCAGCTCACTGCAACCTCGGCCTCCGGGGTTCAAGTGACTCTCATGCCTCAGCCTCCTAAGTAGCTGGGATTACAAGGGTGCACTACCACATCTGGCTCATTTTTGTATTTTTAGTAGAGATGAAGTTTTGCCACGTTCACCAGGCTGGTCTCAAACTCCGGATCTCAAGTGATCCTCTGGCCTCAGCCTCCCAAAGTGCTGGGATTACAGGCAGGAGTTACCCTGCCCAGCCCAGAATCACAGTCTAACATCTCACCACTAATGTCAGTAAGAAATGAACTAAGAGGTTTTTTTTGTTTGTTTGTTTTTTGTGTTTTTTTTTTGAGACGGGGTCTTGCTCTGTCACCCAGGCTGGAGTGCAGTGGCTGGATCTCAGCTCACTGCAAGCTCCCGGGTTCACGCCATTCTCATGCCTCAGCCTCCCGAGTAGATAGGACTACAGGCGCCCGCCACCTCGCCTGGCTAGTTTTTTGTATTTTTTAGTAGAGACGGGGTTTCACCGGGTTCACCAGGATGGTCTCGATCTCCTGACCTTGTGATCCGCCCGTCTCGGCCTCCCAAAGTGCTGGGATTACAGGCTTGAGCCACCGTGCCCAGCTGAGGTTTTTAAATTAAATATATTCTTTTTCTTAGATGTGATGTGAAAAATAAAAATTCTGGCCTGGGAGTCAGAAGATCAGGTTCTTTTGATCTCAGGGCTAAGTAGTCTTCACCAAGTTACTTAACCTTTCTGGGGTTGTATTAAATAAACATACAAATTTGATTGAAACACTAAGTCAGAATCCTGCACAGTGTCTCTTGGTTATCATTATGAAGATGAACTAGCATCCAGAATAGTGCAAAAATGATTCTGGGTTCAGGGATTTTCTGATGCTTACAATATGGTTCATAGGAATTTCTATACTTCATGGGGCAAATCATCAGTATTTGGCTCTCTGATAAGAGCACACTCAAGGTATTTTTACATTCTATGCAAAGTTTACTTTGGCATTCGTTGGGATGGTCTGGAGAGAGTTTTATCACCTATGTTCTTACTTAATTCTCTTATTGTTGAAACCCTGTTCTCTCTTCCATTGACAGCAAAAAGAGTAGCATGGCAGCAAAAGACAGAAATCCTAAAGTATTTCTTATTAAGATGAAAGCCAGGCATGGTGGCTCATGTCTGTAACCTGAGCACTTTGGGAGACCAAGGCAGATGGATCACTTGAGGTCAGGAGTTCGAGACCAGCCTGGCCAACATGGTGAAACCCCAACTCTACTAATAATACAAAAATTAGCCGGGTGAGGTGGCACACGCCTACAGTCCCAGGTACTCAGGAGGCTGAGGTAGGAGAATCACTTTAACTTTTGAGGTGGAGGTTGCACTGAGCCAAGATTGTGTCACTGCACTTCAGCCTGGGTAATACTGCAAGACTGTGTCTAAAAAAAAAAAAAAAAAAAAAAAAAGTATGTTTTATTAAGCTGAAGAAAAATAGAAGTACTTTCATTTGTTAAATTTTTTAATGTAAATGTTTTAATGTAAATTTTTTCAAACTTCAAAACCAGTTTTTTTAAAATGATGGCAAATACTCAAAGTCAAAGATCTGCTGTAGTTCACCACTACTGGCAAAGAATTACACTCTCCTGCCAAAATGCTAACACTGTGCCACAACAAAACAGTTTGGTTCCATTTTAACTACATAATGATGCATTTTGCTAGTTCTTATTTTAATCACTTTTAGAATTGAGACAAAAGTAGAAGACTCATCTCTGCTGCTATGATTTGAAGCCAGATGTTAAGCATGTTGAGTTCAAAGCTAAAAGTTTAAAAGACATCATTTTACTAATAATATCTATGCAGTAGTAGAAAAGATTAGCTGTTACATAGCACAGGAAGCATGGAAATCAAGACCGTTCCCACTCTGGCAATCCCAGTGGTGAAAAGTGTAAGCCGGCAACTGAGCATGCAACAGCCCCTTCTGCGCATCCTCCTCCTTTTGCCTTGATCGTACAGGCTGTTTATGAAGTTTGCTACAACCAAGTGCCATGAGCTTTCAGGTAGTGCTTAGGTCTACATTTATTATTTCCTGCCTTGAAAATTATTTTTATCTAATAATACCATGTTTCTATAATAATATCACGGAAACTTTGGGACAAGCATTGTCAGGGAAATGATGCTCTTCGTGACAACAGAAAAGGCCTAGAAGATGGCAGAAATAAAGTAGGGAATGTACCCAAGAGGAGGGAGCAGTGGCATAAGCAAGGAAAAAGGAGGCAGAGGACCAGCCCCTGGTGCCAGCCAATGAGAAAGAAGAGCTGTGGAGACTTGTCAGCAGTAACATCGCTGTTAGTGGCATACAGGACCAAAGGCCTAACAGGGAGGAAGCACCTTGAAGCCAGGAACTGGGCACAGATTCTTCACTCAGCGGGTTTTATGCATATTCTTACCACTTGCTTTGCTGAGCTTGGACTGCACTAAAAACTACAATGCATGCTCATTTCCCCACACCTCATGTCCCTTATGCACATTTCAAGTCTAATATATCCAAGAAACACACAATTCCTTTCCAATGTATAAAATAAGTTACTGTCTTAAAGATTTGAGCCAGAATCAATTACCTAAATTGCCACCTCCTTAGCTACTAACTACCATTCATCAACCCTGGCAGGTAATTCCTAGGTGAAGATTTATCTTAGGCTGGGTGAGACTCTGGCATAAACATTTTACTAAATGGAACTGTGGGTTCTATGAGAAAAACATAGAAGCCTAATGGCTGGAGAAGGATATGAAACATATGGCAAGATGAAATCATCATAAATTTAAACCCTTTAGATAAAAATAAAACTGGTTCAAAAGGAATGAGAAAATGAGCATGGAAACTGTCAAAGCTAGAGCTGTCAAAACCAAATCCTGGGTCTCTCTTTAAAATCACTTGTTTTTTCAATTACGAAAATACCATTAAAGTATATTTGGAAAATGCAAAATATAGACAAAGTTTTAAAAAATGCATCTTACTACCCGACTGTTAGTAGTTTGGCCCACTTCTTTCTAGATTTTTTTCCTCTGTATTTTTAAATATTGTTTAGTGGGTGCACAGTTTACATACTGTATCTGCCCCTTATTCTTTGCACATAAGCAGTTATTTTGTTTC